AAGGAAGACCATTGTGGTAAGTGATGGAAATACAGAAAGACACGTGATGCGTTTGGATGTGCCGCCCTGACTTGCGTTTGGCATGCTGCAATATATTTATATACCTCCTTCGTTAATATTTTTTTCTCCTGCTAGAGGGTTGTGTTTCTGTGAATGGAGTGACATAAGCACGCATGACTCTCAGTCAGCCTGTCTTTGTGGTTTTGCTAACGCTGAGCGTTAAACAATGATATCAGCTGGTTGCAAGCACTATTCTTTTTTTTTTTTTTTTTTTTTTTTGAAACAAGAACTCTCTCTAGAGACATGACAGATTGTACTGGTGCCAATCAAACCGTGGCAGTCTGTCATGCTGATAGCTTGCGTTCTTTAAATGTTCTCTACTGCAACTTCCTTGCTGGAGAGAAGAATCTGACTTGGTTTAGATGCTGCCTAGTCAGCTAGGGGTGTAAGTTCAAACACAACACAATTGGATGTGCAGTGACCTCATCCTGACTTGAGGTGCAAACACAACTGATCAGATGATTAAAGGGACATCAGTGGAAGATTAGGGCGGAATCCTTGGTATCTGGGCCCAACGATTAGAGCAGGATAATGAAGCAGCAGTAAGGGAGTGAGCAGCAGATCAAGATCCTGCACGGCCGATTGCTCCCAAGCAGCTGCACGCTGCCAGGGTGGCATCAAAGGACGAGTGATTTGTCTGCTGGGATGGTAATTGGTTTAGCTCCTGCCTTTCCTCTGTAAGATCTTCATAGACCTGTTTTTTTGTTTTTTTCTTTAAGTATTTTTATTATTTTGTCATGGTGAGGTCATTGTTCAGCACAGGCATTCAGGTTAGAGCTGCAAAAGGGAGCTTAGCTGGCTGCTGCACTAAAATCTGTAGCTGTGGTGAGATCCTCTTTCAGAGCAACTCAGTGCGGTGGCTGAGGACCTGAGCTGACAAACAAACAAACAAACCAAAAAATGCAGGAGAGGGTTGTGTCTTAAAAACCCCTTTCAGAGCACAGGTCTTTTGGTTTCCCTGGTCAAATCAAAATTTACTGCTCAAAATTCTCTTCTGGATCTGTGGCCTTCATTCATTTGTTGAAGATGTGGTGTAGGAGTGGCTCTTCTTGCCTCCCTGTATGTTCCTTGTGATAGCGTCCACTTGGATTAAATTCTTCCGCCGTTAAGAAGAGTGCAGCCCAACAGTGTGGGGAGCTCCCTGACTTCCAGGCCCCTGGCTTTCATCTGCCAGTTTCAGTCTGTGCTGTGGAGGCATGGTGTCTGTGCCTCGTAATAAAATGTCCTGCTGTGAGCATTTTAGAAATACCTGCAGGTAAAAGATTCATCTAGCTGCCAGCCATGCTGGCATGGCAGCGATCCCACACATGCACAGAAGCAGAATTGTCAGCATCTTGCAGCTTTTAATGTTTAAAACTTCAGCAGCTACAGACCTCGGATGTTTACCAGGCTGCTGCTGCACTTGTCTAAGTCACCTCTTCTTGTGTTCTCATGTCAAATCATGGATCTGATCCTTCTGGGGCAATTAGAAGATCAGGTAAATTAGTTCTCCACAATTTCCGTAGAAATGTAATATTGATACTGACACAAAGTAAATTTTATCCCCAGTTAAATTATGTTTGTTTTAGTAGGACTGCACTAATCCATTTCTAAAATGAAAAGTCAAATAATAGATCACTATGATGGAAAAAAATTAAGTAGCACTTCTGTCATGCTTTTACTTTGGTCAAGACATATGTTAAATAATAATTAGATAATCATGAACTTTCACTTCGCTTCGATGCACATGTTTAATTCTATACCGAATAATGCTCTTACACCTAAACTAACCTATGGTAAAACTGTTTTTCTGAATGTTGACTGAAGTTACAACGTATTTCATTGAACTAAACTTGCTTGTGGTTTGAATGGGTGTGCTTTATTTTTAAGGATGGTTCTGCTAGCACTGGCACAGGTCAGTTTGACTTTTTGCCCAGTACTTACGTAAGAAGACAGTATAAAAAAAAATGGGTTTATGAAACTTGATCTGTACATCTTATGTTTGCTGCCCAAAGCTATTAATTGATGCACACTGAGCGAACACCACGGGGCTCTTCCTAAAGTTTAGAATCTGTAGTGTATTTGTGAATGTATTGCACGTCTCCTGCAAGTCTGAAAGAGCTCAAGGGAAACTTTCCAATTCTTTGTCCAAAGCCGAAACTACTTCTTCCTTTAAAAGCAAACAACAACAAAGCAAAGGCAAACAAACAAACAAAACCAACCCTCTGAGATCTTAGAGCTTAGAACCATGTCAGGCAGGTGCAGTATTTGAGGGATCACTGCCCTGTGTTACAAAAAGCAATCATGGAGTTAAAAAGGAAAGAAAACTTTTTTTTTTTAAGAGTTATATGAAGGGAAGGGACACGGATGTTAACTTTAAAAATCTGAAAACTGAACACCTGGAGGTAATTATTTTTAAATATTTTCAGGCTGAGTCAGAGTTAATGGCAAAGGGGAACTACATAAGAAAGAACATTGGTATTCTTCAGGTATTTTACGAGAGATTAAACAGATCTCACTTAAAAACATGAATTTTATAAAAAGACTGAAGCACTAAACATGTTGAGCAAGCATTTGGCAGGGTTCAGCTGTGAACGGGACCGCTGTTCTTTCCCATGGTCTTCTCCCAGGCAGGCAGGCACTGCAGCAGCCCTGCAGGTCGGTCAGTGCCAGACAGGCCCAGGCAGGTCACCAACAGCGAAAGAAGAATGCTCACAATCAGTTAAAAACTCTTCTTTTTTTGTTGATAGACTTATCATGTGGATCGATAACACAGATTCGTATTTTGCCCAGTTTATTCCTAACGGAGGGAGGCAGGGAGGCACTGTGCTCAGTCTTATTCTAGCTCTTTTCTCCTCTGCCAAGTTTTCTCCAAGGAAGTAACACCCTTCTCTTCTTACCAAAGGGGAAAAAAAAATCAAACTCCCAAAGATAACGTTAGTGATCCACTGGATTGTTAGAGATTATTTGTAACTCTGTTAGGTACTCAGACTTCAAAATGTATAAATATACAGAAGGTGACAGAGTATTGAGCAAGTTTTCTCATTATCTCACAGGGTAATCTCCCGGGGTGTAGCATCGCTGAACTAATGGCCCCCAAATAGCAACTTATCAAAGCCGCTCAGGGATTCTTGCCATTGCTATAAAAAGACATTTGGCAATAAGCTCTATGTCATATTAGAAGCGTGGTCATTTACTAGAATATAAATATGCTAATGTAGTAGAGAACTCTTCAATGGCATATGGTCCTAAAAATTCAAGGAGACGATACTGAATGCCAGGGATGCCAAGTCATCTGAAACCTTACCACTTTAAAGCAGTTATTTCTTGAGATAAAAATTACATTGCTGCATTTGTTATGTATTTATGTTGGGCATTTCGCCTGACCTCTCGTAGCTTTTCGTAAATGCTAATTAAGGAGAGATGATTCTGTAGCTGAAGGCTCGTTAGGTAGTTTATGCCCATTTCACAGACAAACAGAAATGTGCATCACATGGCTCAGTCTTGGAGACCATTTCTTGACTGAAGTTCTTGGCTTCCAGTCTAAACTGTATGTTTTTCATCTTTTTTTTTTCTTGTTTTCCCTGAGCTAATGAACATATTTAAAGTGCTTTTTCCCAGCTCTGTATGAAATTAGCTTGCCAGGACTTCAATTCATGTGCCTACATCTTGTGCTGCTTGAGCAGTGTGGCTTTTTGAATGGACCAGAGTGGTTCGGGGCTGGTGAAGTCTTGTTCAACAGCTGCCAGCTACGAGTGGAGCCCCGCTCAGCCACCATCTCAGTGCCCTCTGATAGCTGTATTTAGGGCCAGAGGGAAAAAACAGGTCATATAAGCAGAATGTGGATGTATTACTTTACATTTTCCAGAGTGCCACAGACTCCTGTACAGGTTGTGCCGGACATGACTTTCCCTTTGTTGTAACTTGATGAGGAGGCTGCTTCCTCGACAGCTTAAGTAAATTCAAGTCAAAATCTGTAAGCTGTGTCTGGGATCGGTGGTGGGTTTGGGCACCGTTAATGATACCAGGTGGGAAAGAGGTGTTATCACTGGCAAGGAGAAGGTGCCTTTGGTCTTCACAGAGGGACCTGTTAATTCTTGGTTCTCTCTTAGATCCGTGGTTTGCGTGTACTTGATTGCCAGAGAGAGGTCTCTGAGCAGGAGTTGATGACATGCACAGGTCATCTAGGAATCACAGGTGTCCAAATATCAGTGGAGCAAATGGTCAATTACCATGTCCGTTTGTAGGCAGAGCCAGGTACTCCAGGAAGCTGTCAAGCATACTGTGACTGAGAGTTCATTGTTGCAAAGAAACGTCTTTAAAATGTGTGCTGTTTTAACTGAAAGGGTGCTAGGAAGATATTACTGTTAGTGGCTAATGGTTAATGCCAGTGGTATAATGTTAATTAAATCATTTCTTCTCCAACATGTTCGTTGATGGAACCTGAGCATTCAAATGTTCAGATATACTTTTTCATAGCAGCACATCCATTACTGGACACAAAACTTAAAGTTTTTGCTCCAATATCATTTTGCCCCCTGGGTGACACACTAAGAGGTAATTGTTACTCCTTTAGGAGATCTGATATTCAGGCTTGCTTGGCCTGAGGATAGGGGTCTCTTTGCTTTGTGCGTCAGAGGTCTGGGTTTGATTCTCACTTTCTTGTTCTGCAAGATGGAAAGAGAAAGTGGGGAGCGTATATTAAAAGCTGAGCTTTAGTGGCTGAGGAATGTAGCTCACGAAGTTAAAAGAGACTCCTGTAACTGACTGGGGACCAACAATGAATGGAGCCTCATGGTTTATAGTGAGGCTTGAATCCTCTCTGCTCCGTGTGTGGCAGAGGACCTCCCAAGCCAATAAAGGAAAAATGTTAATGGAGTAAACGACAACATGAAGTATTAAAGAATTGTTTCTGCATGGGCCGTGGGAGTTTAAAGCCCCTTTTCTTTTCTCCTTTTCAGAAAGAAGACACAGCTCCTCCAGCAAGCCGCCTTTGACTCCTCCCTCCTCTTCAGTATTTTCCATCATTTCATCTTTCCCTTCAAAAAACAAAGGTAGCAGTGGAAGTGGTAGCAATCGTTCATCCAGTGGAGGTACTAGTGCATCGTCATCATCAAATTCCAAGTTGTTGAAATCACCCAAAGACAAGCTGCAGATCAGCGGAAACAACAGGTTAATGCATCCGGTACAGCATAGCAAAGTTCCCCATGATAAAATGTGAGTATACATTTTGACAAAGAATTACATATTACTACATGTGTAGAAACTGCTGTATCAGTAGAATTTGCCTTTGTTTCAGAGGACTTATGCTTTGAGAGAGACCACTTTAAACTCCCCCAGATCTTTTCCAGTAGCGTAGTCTAAGATTATAGCTATACTGATGAAACTGTCGAATGAGACATTTGCAAAGATGCAGCTTGAATCGTTATAAATAAAGGTCATTCTGCTAGGGGGTCTTTATTCTTTGATCCAGTCTGCATATTTTCACTGTAAGTGAGTTTCTGAAGTTTCTGTTGTCTCTGAAATACTTCCAAAGAAATGGGGACAAGAGCACAGAAGAGATAGTGGACATCACAAAAAATGTGAAAACAAATAAGAGAAAGAATAAAAATAATAAAACTGGGAATAAACAACAAAGGTCTAAAATTGAACTGTGAACAGATCAGTGTTGAGTAATATGTTTTAAGTACTTCTTGTAATTTATGACTCATGATACTATCATTTACAATTTTTCCCCTCTTTGTTTTTCATAAATAATAGTATGACTCCATCTGTCAAAGTGGAAAAGATTCATCCAAAGATAGATGGTGCCCAACTGAAAACTGCTGTTGGTCCAACTTGTTCTACTACTGTGAGTTCCTCAATAAAGACTGGCCTTAATTGTCCCTCAATACCAAAGCCACCCTTGCCTTCCCCTGGACAGATACTGAATGGTAAAGGTCTTCTCTCTGTGCCTCCATTTTTGGAAAAGAAACCTGAAGAAAATACGAATAATAGGAAATTTTTACATAAAAGATTGTCAGGTAATTGTTTTTAAATATTTTTTGCTATATTGTTCTTATTAGTGTATGCGTAAAAATACGTATGTAAGATATAAAAGTAAATATTTACTTCTGAAGCTTATTTTATATAACATTAAGTTGTAATTATGTACATTTATGTACTGGAATTTAAATTTAGCTTGATGTGTTCATAAAGGATGCAATCAACATGAAACGTGTCTATTGCTTTCAGAAACCATCCAGGTGTTACAGGCCTATCAGTTCTTAGTTTTAAAATGTGTTATATTTGAAAACAATTTCCAGTATGGTTAAATTTTCTAAAGCAAATAAATGTCAGTATCTCAAGATGTCTTTATGAAAGCTGTTTTCAATAATTGGCTTATTTGTGCACCTTTGACAGAGAGAGAATTTGATCCTGATATATACTGTGGTGTCATTGATGTGGAAACCAAGAAACCCTGTACTAGGTCTTTGACATGCAAGGTAGGATGTCTTAATCAGAATAAAATTTTGTAAAGTTCACATTTAATTTCCCAGGGAATGTGACAGAAAACTACTAATTTCTCCTGTCAGTAATTGCCACTGTAAATGGTCCCTCTCAAAGCATATTATCTAGGACCATGAAGGAATTGTTTTCAAAGTTAAGCCAATTGTTTATTCAAAAACTTACTTCCCACAGTAACCTGGAGATCTTTATATTTGTGTAAACCTTTTACATGGATGCTGACATGGAAACAATTATGTTACTCCACATGTATGTACTAGAGGGGGCAGCATGTTCTTTTGAGGGATGATCTTTGGGTTACAGACCATGGATTTTTAAAAGTCCATCGTAAGCATTAGAGGCATTACTTGTTTATGTGTGATTCCAATAAATCAAGCTTCCCCCACTCACACCCTTTTCCTTTCCCCCACCGCAGCCTGCAGCAGATACTTAGCAGGTATTTGTGCAAATGCTGGTGCTGCTGGATTTATCTACACAGCTTACTCAGAAACGAGCCTTCTGAGAAAGCTGCAGAGTATGCCTGGAGGTCAAACTCTAAATTAAACTATCTTTTAAAAACTTTAGATCAGTTTAAATGTGTTCTTTTGCTGAAAAGTCTTGGAGAGTAGGGTGTATAAGTCTCAAAGAACGCAAAATCCACATCCTATGCAATTGTGTAATATTTAGCCTTTTTTATGCAAAGCAGCTAAACTGTCGGTAGGGGAAGCATCTGGTAAATAAACCACCTCCAGAACAAAGGTACACGAAGCTGGCACTAATGACCTGCAGGAACTGAACTTGAACACATTGCCCTTTTGGAATTACAGTGGGGAGGCAATCCTTTTGCTAATAGAGAAGGGGAAAAGTTTCAAGACTTTACAGGAGAATTAGAGAAACCAAAATTTTAATAGATAAAAGAAGTAAAAAAGTTTCTCAGCAATCGCTTATATTGCACCTACTCAAAATATTTTTTTGAGTTGCTATTTGTATCTAATTTACATGATAATATTTTTACCTATGAAAATTAGCCAATCAAACCTTTTATGCCATATGAAAATAAGGTATTGTATGTGACTTCAACAATTCAAAAAAAAAACAACAAAAAAAACAGGTTACACCTATCTCACTTTACCTAAAATTTGTACTATTTATGTCCAATTCTGTGTAGAGTTTGGGATGCTCAAAGTACTTAGAGTTCTGTCTGACTGTGGATTCTGCTGTATTTTTTTGCATTCTGTAATACCTACTCTGTTACATTGGAAGATACTTGTTTTCAAGGAATATATTAGTAAACAGAAGGAAGCAAATAATTTTTATAAATATTTGTAGTGTCTCCCGTTATAAGTCTGAGTTAAAGTTTTAAGTCTGATTTTAAGTTTTTTTGTGTTAAATATTTTAAGTAAAAGTAAATATTTGGTATTTTTTTGGTTATGCACGAGGGTGAGAAGAATAGATACCATATTGGCAATTAAAATATCAGAAACAATGTTAAAAAGATTTGAATTCCAGTCTTAGAGTAGTTTCTTTGGTAGTGTCTTCTTTAAAAAAAGAAAAGGAAGAACTTTGGAAGAAGTTTTGAACTCAAGTGCTGTTTTTCATTATTTTGTATCAGGAAGACATGTAATCATCCACCAAAAAAAAAGTCCAAGTTTGTTTTATAAGTCATTCTTCCATTTATTTACTAAACCACAAATGTGATTATTGTCTGTATTCTGGAGCTCTAGACATGTGTTTTGAGTGTTTAATTTCCACAGATCTAATAGGCTGGGATTAATGATTTATTCATGGATTTGCAGACACATTCCTTAACCCAGCGGAGGGCTGTACAGGGTCGAAGAAAACGATTCGATGTGTTGTTAGCCGAGCACAAAAGCAAAACCAGGGAAAAGGAACTTCTTCGACATTCGGATCATCATCAGCAGATGCCCCCTCTCAGGGAACCACATCCCTCACCTACTAAAACTTCCCAGGAGCTGCACCAAAATTCTCATGGAGTTACTCTTACAGAATCAAAGCCTTTATTACCTAATAAACCCAAACCTCACCCCCCCAGTCTTCCAAGGTAAGACAAATCTGCGTATCCAATAGTACGAAATTAATGCTGGTGGCTTCATCATGTGGATTTTGAAAGAGAGATAGGGATCTGTTGGATGGGGTAGCATTTTTGCTCTAGGCCTGGTGACTGTCTGTCTGCAATTAGCAATTACATGCTGGGCTGTAACTCATAGCAAGGAGGGTTTGGAGTCTGAAATAGCAGAGGCTGACTTGCATCAATTAAAGCAGTTCTGCAACAATTGGGCAATTCTGCTTTTCCAGGGGTACAATAACTCCTGGCCTTTCTCTCGGTAGATGTGTTATGAGACTCTTGAAAATATTGGGCATCAGTTAATGTAAATTTCCTTGTGTCAGTGTTGAAACACCCACAGTGAAGTGCTTGTTGACGAGACTCACCTCAATAACACCTTTACTGCTTACCTTGCCCAGGCCTCCAGGCTGTCCAGCCCAGCACAGTGGAAATGCCCCTAGCGATTCTCCTTCTGTCCACGAATCCCCTCACCCTCCCTTGCCTGCAGCTGAGCCAGCATCTCGGTTATCCAGTGATGAGGGAGAATGTGATGAAAAAGAAGAGCCTGTTGAAAAACTGGATTGTCACTATTCAGGTCATCATCCTCAACCAGCCGCTGTATGTTTGAAGTAAAAGTTAACCTTGGTCTTTCACTGTCTCTGAATTTGTAAACAAGTAACTTGGGGGGCTTAAGGGTGGTTTTCTATTGTTTGTGGGTGGGCTTTTTTTTCAGATTTTAAGGAAATTATTTTGTTGGATAATCAATAGTGATGGTATCAGTGTATTTGCAAAGTAAACATGCCAAAGAAGTATGTTTGGGCCTCCCTGCTGCCATACAAAAGAAATGAAATTGCCAGAGTACTGAAGATGAAATTGGTATCTGCTCTATAGGGCTGTAGTTTTGGGGTAGGAAGGCATATGAGATTTCCAGGAAATAACAGCTGTGGAATAAGGACATGAAAATACTGCCATTTTAGTGAGATTTTGTTACGAGACTTCTTTTTCACCTGACATTTTTACTCAAGGTGCCAGTTGTTGCAGTGAAGGTAGTGATAATGTGGTTTTAAATATTTAAATCTTGACAAAAGCTGGCATATATGGTGTACTTTTTCAAATACAAAATATTGAAATATTTCTACATTTTGCAAAACTCGTAGATTCATTTTTTGAAGTATCAAATACTTTTTTTTATTATTGGAAGTTGTTCCTTGCAGTATGCTAACAGACATCTTTCACGTGAGCCTGATCTATTATCTTTGCCTTCAACAAAATGTTAACAGGCTACTTGAAGGAGTGAACCATAAGGTGCAGTAGATGAACCTTCCCTCTAATTTCTGTCTTCTTAAGCCATTTACTTTATCTAAAAGCCTAGCCTTCCTTTTTTTTTTTTTTTTTTAAACTGGCTATGAGCAAATAGCTGACAGCTTCTCAGAAGGGAATGTTACATGTGTGTATATACACCTGAGTGTGTACGTATACACATATATATAGAAATGTGAAATACACTATTGTCCTTCCCTGTTTTAATCAGAGGGATTCAAATCTAATTGCTGCATTCATCATAAATATGGGAATTTCAGATGGGGGAAGAAATGATCCCAATGTACTAAGGCCAAAAATTCAAAATAGTGTTTGTAATGTAGAAATTTGAAATCAAATGTGTATATATATATATATATTTTTTATCCTGGGTTTAAACATCTAAAAATCATATTAGTCTAGCATATATATTTTATAAACAAGTGTGTTGTTGTTCAGAGAAGTTGTCACTGAAAGTAGAAAATGCCAATAAAAATCTGTCTTTCCAGTTTTGCACATTTGGTAGTCGGCAAATTGGAAGAGGTTATTACGTGTTCGACAAGCGGTGGAACCATATTCGATGTGCACTTAACTTCATGGTGGAGAAGCATCTTAATTCTCAGATGTGGAAGTGAGTAAAAATGGAAGAGTTCTGATCCTGGTAGTTGTAGAAATATGTAAGGCCTGCGATTCTAGTTACAGCAAAGTGCACTGTCAGATTAATGAAGATCAGAGGTTGATAGTGTATGCTTTACTTTTTTTTTTTTTCTCGATAATTAACTATTGGTAAACTATTCTAGTGTCGTTTCAATCTCAATTTACAGTCACCTTTCATCAGTATTTACTGGACTGGGTATTGTTCCAGAGAATGGTTGCTACCTGGGTTTTTGTTTTTCTTTTTACCCGCAGGAAAATTCCTCCAGCATCTAGTAACACGACGTCAGTTCGTGCCCCACATCGGACAAACTCGATGCCTGCTTCACAGTACGGTGTCAGCGCAGCAGGTTTCCTCTTACCCACCACGGTTATGTCATCGCCAGCGCTGGTGTCTCCTTCCTGTATGTCCCTGAACAGCAAATCGGTACCATCACACGGAACTACACTAAATGCAAATCCTGCTACTCTGGGTGCAGTGGATCCTGTCTGCAGTATGCAATCAAGACAAGTGTCTTCATCCCCTTCAACACCTACAGTGCTTTCCTCTGTACCTTCACCTATGCCCAGCAAACCTCAGAAGTTGAAATCCAGCAAATCTTTTAAACCTAAGGAATCTTCTGCTGGCAGTGGCACCTGTAACAGTACCGGCAGCGTCAGTAGCAGCGGCGGCTCAGGAAAGAAGCGTAAAAACAGTTCCGCACTGCTAGCACCTTCTCATTCCACAGAGTCCTTTAGAAAAAACTGTGTGGTTAACTCTGGAAACTCTGGGACCTCCTATCATCCATCGGTGACGTCTTCGTCCCACAGTGTTGGCCTCAATTGTATGACTAGCAAAGCTAACTCTGTTAGCCTCAAACATGACCAATCAGGGAGGGGTCCTCCTACCGGGAGCCCTGCAGAATCGATAAAAAGAATGAGTGTGATGATGAACAGCAGCGATTCCACTCTTTCCTTAGGGCCATTTGTTCATCAGTCCAGTGAACTGACTGTAAACTCGCACAGCAGTTTTTCACATTCACATACTTCCCTAGACAAACTAATAGGAAAGAAAAGGAAGTGCTCACCTGGTTCAAGCAGCATAAACAGCAGCAGCAGCAGCAGCAGCAAGTCAAACAAAGTTGCCAAATTGCCATCGGTGAATAATGTTCACGCAAAACACACTGGTGCAATCCCAGGGACACAAGGACTGGTGAACAATTCTCTTCTTCATCAGGTAGGAGCTCTTGTCTGGAAGTAAGCCAGTATGAGTGTGTCACTTCACGTGCTTAGATCCAATGTGTTCTCTTAATAAGTAATAGACAATTCCAGATGTTCTTCAGGTAAAAGACAGTTCTCTTATTTATTCAGTACTGTTTTTGAGTCTTTTTATAGTACATTTGCACATGATTTGTATAAACACTTGATTCTAATAGTGTATGTTTGTTTATTTACTTATTTTAAAGTAACCTTAAATATGATATCCCAAGTTCCCATAGACACTGCCTCTGAATCACTCTCAGATGAAATTCAGTTCTCGCATTTAAAAGTAAATAATAACAATAAAATCGTGCAGCCAGCCGTGGAACTGAGCTGAATGTCTCAGCTGAAAGACTTGTTTCTGTGTCAGTAATAAACATGCCACAAAGTGGAACATAACGATGCTGATAACAGAACTGTGATACTGTGATAAAATAAGCCTATTATCCCAAGGTGTCATTGACTAACTTCTTAGTATTAACGAGATTAAATGTTATAAATAAGATATAAAAGATAGAATGCTTTTTAGTCTGTAAAACAAACATTTACTATAAAGGAAGTAGATCTCATGAATATGTAACTTTTTTAAAGTTAGTTTGAAGGCTTGTTCTTTTAAACTGATTGCACTGGGAAAGAAAGTTCTCAATATACTAGAATGAATTTAGACACAACTTGAAGGGTCATTTGGAGGGGTAAAATGATTTGATGTAGCTTTAAAAGAATACCGAAGATGGAATTTTGGAGAGCAGATATGGAACTAAAATTTTCCAAAGTGTAAAGCAAGATACTTTTTGTTTCCTCTGGGACTAAAGCACTGAAACCCTAAAAGTCTCTGTGTGCCTGGAGAGGTTAGGAGGTCAGTGAGATGTTTTTCAGAATAGTTTCTGAATTTTCAGTTTCAGCCATAAAGGAAGATTTTCACCACTTGTGTTTTCTAAAACAAACCAAAAAAAAAAAAAAAAAACATTCATATGACTAAAGAAACCTTGTTTTCGGCCTTACCTGATAGTTACTGCTTCAACTGTGCAATAGAAATAAAGGAAAAATATCATTTGAATGAAGGAAGGAAATAATTTCTAAAACTATTACAACTTGAAAAACCCCAGCTTGAGAATCGTAAAGTTTTCAGTGGTGTGCCAGATTCTGGCTGCTGATCCTCCCCAAAATATGCTCTCATTGTCCAGAAAATGTCTTTGAAGGGCATCTGCTATAGCAGCTTGGCTCACTCACTCATCCTTCTCTTCCATTTATTTGCTTAAAAGCCAAAGGCGCGTCCCTGACAGCTGACTAAACCATGGTGAGAAAAGAACTGGACACTTTTCACTACAAGCAAAACCTCCATCTGGAATTCTGGACTCCAAGATGCCTTGAGTTTTCCCAGCTTCCCATGGTCCTCAGGTGTGGAAATCTACTGGACTGTCACTCAAACAAGGAATTTCCCTGAAGCCATGTCTGTAGCAGTGAATATACTAGAAATGGACACTGGATGAAGTTCAGCCACATAATTGCTCTTATCAGTGTTAACGGTGGTCTGGACTAGTTTGCTACAAATCTGTGAGATTTTCCTTACAGGAGTACATCATCTTGCCACTATTTGACATAGATTGGCTGGGCAAAAGAATGTTTTCTGGGGGGCAAATAAACATTACTGTGGACTTATTTTTATACTGATGGTGTCTTTTATAGGTGATAGCTACCAGACAGACACTGTCAACAGAGAGGACCCCGCAACAAGGGGGAAAAAACAAACGTGTGAGGCACAATGGAAAGAAGCCCTCAAGAAGGGAATATGGCTTTAGTGTTTTTATAGCAATGTTCCTTTAATGGAATATAAAAATAGCACAATTCAAAAAATAGTCTGTGTTTTGCCCAGCCTTTTGCAAGTAATTTGGGATAAGAAGCTATCAGGAGTTAAAAATATAAAATATATTAAAAAAAAAACTTTTAAAACAACAATAACAACAAAAAAAAAATCAAAAAACTTGTTTGAGGCCATTGCTTAAAAAGCAAGTATAAAAAGTTGTACTTGTGAGATACAAATATTATTTTCTATTCTTTTTAATAAGATTTGATTGCAGAAGAAAATTAAAGTTAATTGCTTTTTAAAAAAAATCCAAAAATATCAAACAAAGGCAAATAACCTCTAAAACTATATGCCCAAAGAACATATTTCCTGACCTATGCTGTATACCATAAGCCTTTGTTATTTTAAAAAATAACAACTGTATTGGTTGAATTAGGCTGGATTTGCCTTCCAGCCTGTATAAAAAATAAAAGAAAAAAAAGAAAAAAAAAAGAAAAAAAGCCCTTTTAAAACTAAGTATTTAAAGTATTTAAATATTTTCTAAAAAAAAAAAGTAAAATAAAAGTCAGATATTTTATGCCTTGTTTGTATAACTAAATCATTAATGTGTTATGCTTTCAACCACTCAGTGAGGGTTTCCAAAATTCTGGAGCATTTGCCAATTTGACAGCCGAGTTCCACGTAAAGTGCAGTTGTATGCATCCCCGTCAGCTCACACCTCCCGAGGTTTTACTAATAAAGGGGGCTTGACACAGTTTTATATAGTCCAGTCAATTTTTACGAAGTATTTTGTCTTGCTTCAAAACACCTCCAAAGTGAATTCCGCTAAAGGGCTTATTGTAATAGGATTTGGTTCGTCTGGATGTTTTTTGTTAATTTTTTTTAACGTCAGGTAAAGTCTCAAAAACTGACTCAACTTTTATTAAGGGGCAAAGCAAAGGAAAGCAAATTACTGACCAAGAGGATATTTTTCTGCCTTAAAGGGGCACCAGCTGTCGCTGAGAACAGACAATCTGAGCCTGTCCAATAGTTCCCGTAGCCCAGCCTTCCCCCATTTCTGGTGGCAAAGAGTACATCAGGGAATCCAAAGCCACTAAGAGTAGCAGTTGCTTAGCTGTTTACCTACCGATGCTTTCAGTTTCACCCGAACTTGCTACAAAATCCTTGCTATACAGCAAAACAACAAGAAGCCTCTATGCAGACACTTTAGCTTTTGAATTGATGCGAAAGATGACATTTAGAAAGCAATGTGTATAGACTCTTATTATGCAAACTTTAATCAAAAAACCAACAAAGATATTTTCAGGAACAAAAAGATTCATAATTAATAAGATGCCCTGTTGAACGGATTGTTGCTGTGATTGGTTTAACATAAAAGGAGCCAAAGTAACATGCCACAAAATGAAATCAATATTTATTAAATCCTGCCCGTTTGGAGTGAAATCCGTGTTCTGATGAAGTTACTGGGGCAAAAATTTCACTTCAGGACAGTCTCAGTCACAAGTGCAATTTGACTCGATCGATGTAAATGTAAAGGAAAAAAAAAAAAACTTGGCGAGAAGGAGCGCCGGGGAGTTGGTGACCGAACTCTCCTCTTTTTTGAAGGTTCTGTTGATCTGAAAGCATAATGGCAAATTCACGCCCGTTCAATAGCACGCAGACCTTTTAAAAAGCTAATTCCTGAGCGCTGTGCTCATGTGGAGCCAGCCTCCACAGACACCTGCGTTGTGCAGTTCGAAGCCATTGGGAGTCGAGAATTAGAACATCGTAAATTCTGCCTGCCCTTGAGCACAGACCTGCTCAGATATTATGTTTTAGATCCTGGTTACAAGCAGAACGTTGTTCCTGAAGCTTTTATTGTCACGTAGTTCTTACTGTAAATAACTAAGGAAGCTGAAATACATTTTCCTTGCAAAATTGAATTTGCAGTGGCTGGGTTGTTTCTAGACAGATTTTGGTATTAATTTAAGAGATACAGTTTTTATAGTCTTTCCAACTTCTCGTTATGACTCCTGCAGTTTTCTTAACCTAAAAAATTGCTGCAATGATGAACAAAGAATTATACAAGAAAAAAAAAGCATACTTTTGTATCTTTATTTTGGAATTTCTTGTTCTATTATAAATATTGAAGTATCCCTATTTCAGAAGACATATTTTGTTAATTGATTGTACATATTTAAATATGTATTTTTGCACAGGTCTTTTTTTCTTATATCCAGTTTTGGTACAATTGAGATCATCTAGTATTTATTTATTAATTAATTAAAAAAAGAAAAGGAAAAAAAAAAAAAAAAGCAAATACCTTTTTATAATTTGAAGTGGTTCACTGCCAAGCCAATAGTATACCATGCCTACTTTTTGCAACGGGGAGGGGTGCCTCCGTTTTGTGAAAGCTGTGTCCCTTCTCACGTCTCGGGAGCTCTTGCCCAGGTCCTGCAGCCGGATCCAGGCGGCGGCAGCAGCCCAGGGAGCCTGCCTGCAGGGCCTGCGGCCGCAGGGTGGCTGCGGCGTTGCTTGGAGGTTGCCTGATTCCCAGAAGACTCCGTTTAGCTAAGTGACACACTGCTTCTCTTTTTGTAGTGCTCGTGTGCGTGCGTGCGCGTTCGTGTGGGTCTCACGTGGTTTAAAACTAACGGAAAAACTGAAAGTGCCTGATCTAACTAGTTTTAAGCTTGGACTGTTTAGACAGCTTCTCCTTAAAAGACTTGAATGTTCAGTTGAAATTTCGGAGCTTGCTTTTTCCACCTATATATTATATATGTGCGTGTGTATATATATGTGCGTGCATATATATACGCATCCACGTTTATACATATATTTTCTAAAATAAGATGGGTTGACAAAAGGAAGCAAACGATGCTGGTAACTTTTGTACAATGTTTTAATTGGAATACCTTGTGTTGGAACAATCCCATTGATAACGCGTATTTGAAATAATGCCAAGGGTTTGAAACGTGGTTTTAACCAGCAGTTTATTTATCTGTCCCATTTTGGGCAGGGAGCAGAGAGAGAAATGTAAATGAAATAATTTAGAAAATGTTCAGAATACTTCATATTCCAGGAAAACAAAACAAAAACCAAGTAAGTACCTCGGAAAACCTTTTTTAAAAAAAAAAGATGTGATTTCCAAATGACATTTCTAAGGCAGTTGTCTTCCTGTAAGAGTTCTCTTGCCAAGGAATCTCTCATCTTTCACTCATTCTGTCCTGGAGGAGGGAATTGGGCTTGGAAAGATTCTTAATGTTTCACTGTTCAGCGGAAAATAATCATTTTTACATTTTGTGCAAGATATTTTACGTTTTAAAGATAATTTTAAAATGAGCACTACATAATGTCAATGTGAATGTAGGCCTTGAAAGCATCTTGCTCTGTGTTGAGCCTGGTTCTAAAAGCAATCTCCTGTGTAAAATGTGTGAATAGTTTGATAATTTGTATACATAATCAAGAGCATCTGATCAGCTGAACTCTGTGTTGGCTGCTGTATAGTACATGAACAAATGTCATGGGATAGAAAAAATTACTTTGGATATTTAAAAGAAAAATAAATATATAGTCTATTTGTTTTGTAACAAGTTTCTGTAAATAAAATAATTTATACTATTTATAAGAAAAAGTTGTGCTTTGCTTCATGAAAAAGATTAGTTTGTTGAACAAACATGTTACTAAACAAGGCAATAAAATTAGGACTTTTCAATAAATGAGGTTGGTTGCATGGAATACATTATATGTTTCTGCTTCGTTATGAAATCATTCACCATTAAAGGAAAACATTATCTGTGTCGGTGCCTATGTGAACTAATTTCAGAGAATTGGGCAAATCCTGTCCTTTTGCCTCAGCACTGCGTCAGCTGCCCCAGGAGTCAGCCTGCTGCAATCTGAGCCTGACGTCCTGCGAGGTTTTGTGGCATCTGGGTTTTGAGAGGTGCCGGGAGTAACGCCGTGGTTTTTTCCCCTGCGAGTTCTGTTGCTGAAGGCTCCTGCTCTTTGGTTTTCTAAACAGAATAACGAGAAACAGCTTTTACAACACCAAATACAGTACATTGAAGGGTTGTGGGTTTTTGTTGTCGTTTTGGTTTGTGTTCGAAAAAAGCATCTTCCATTTTTCCCAGTTCAGGCGCCCAGGGTGTGAATTCAGCAGGTTAAATGCTCTTGCAGGCTTTTCTCTGCATGTGACTCAGGACGATTGCATGCGGTGGATGACTTCAGAGAACAGTCTGCAAAACCGGTAAAACTCCTGTTGGGGGGGTAGAACGTGCAGCCAAGGCAATGGGGTTTTTGTTTGTTTGTGGGGTTTTGCCTTTTTCTTCTTTTCTTTTTTTAACGCTAAATGTTTTCTTTAGTATTTGGGATAAATGCTGCAAGCTATAAGTGGGGGGTCAGGCAGCAAGCAGGTTCTGCTTTGTCTTTTTATACTGAGTACTTTGAATATTTCTCTATTTACATTACCTTTTGTATTGGCTGATTTTTTTTCGCCTTCCTGCAAATATATATTTTTTCCTAGCAGTAATTCCTAGCTTCTGCTCCGTCCTATAAACTATTGGCACTGAAGTTGTTGTGCTGGGCTCTACAAGTGACTACAGCGTGAAGCATGCAGGAGACGTGAGTTCATGCAGCAGAGCTAGCGCTCCTTGGTTGTCATCAAATTCAGGCAAGTCCGTAACTGAGCCATCTGGTTCAGGATTGCAGGATTAACTCTGCATTTAACTGCATTTAAAATAGGGTTCTGTGTTCCCTGATGCTGCAAGGTGAAGAGGGAGGAAAGGTGAGGTCTGATTGTGCGTTGGAGGTGTCCCTGCCCATGGCAGGGGGGTTGGAATTCGGTATCTTTAAGGTCCCTTCCAACCCAAGGCGTTCCAAGAGGAAAACGTTTGCATTTATCCCATATTATCCCATATAACCGAGTTCCAGGGAGCACTGACTGCATGGGGAAAATCGCAGCTTATAATCAGGAAGAGTTTTTTGGTGGGGTGGAAGTTGGAGCCCAACAGTTGATGCGTGTTATGCAAATCCAGATGTCAGAGAGTCTCTGTGCATGCTTTTGAGTGCACGTACGTATTTTAGGTGGCTGCAGGAGCATGGAGCTGGCCCCAGCCTCTGTGAGGCACAGCGAGGCCAGCAGCGACCGCACCGGCCCCTGCTGCCTCTGCACGCTGCTGCCACTTCTGCCAGCTACTGAGCCAACCGATACAAGAGCCTGCCTTTGGCTTTATTTAAATGCAAATTTCTGTTGGGTCATTATTATCACGTTCTGCTGCAACAAATAATCAAACACACGTGGCTTGTATGATCCACCATGGGACTCTTAATTTGACTGAATGCTTTTCTCAGTGCTTTGGCTGAGTGCTGCATTAGCGATTGGATTTGTTCCTAACAACCAGCGTGGGATCTTTGTCGAAGAGAAGCAGTGTGTGCTTGTTTTATTTGTGTTGTTTTTTTTTTCTGGCCCACCGAACTTTAGGGGACTCTCAAATACCTTTTCTGAAGTTGTTTAAATTAACCTGGATTCAAACTTCATTGTGAAGGATGAAAACTTGCCTGAGACATGCAGTCCAGGCCATGCTGTGTCCGAGCCAGAGATAAATGGCTGTAGTTGACATCTGTCACCAAATTCATGGAGAGTCTTGAGCATCAACAAGGCCAGCAGCACACCAATGCTTTGGTTTAGCTGCTCTCCAACTGCTGGAAGTGTCCATCCATCTGCAGCCCTTCCTGAGCACAACAGGTAATTTATTTATTTTTTCAAAAGCAAGTGACTTGTCTGAGAGCCCAAACTTTGGAGCCCAAACTCCAGCAAAAGAACAAGCGGAGTCTTTGATAGTCCAGCAGACCGGTGAGCCGAAGGATGTTTGCACACAAACTAGATTTCAGCTGTTTTGTAGAAGAGCTTTACCCACACAACCTGTAACACCCCCACCTCTTTTCCCTCCCTCCCGTGTTCCTGTGGTTTAACAGCGAGTGTCTTGCAGAGCGAGGCAGAAAGCATCGCTGGGGGGGGCTGCAGCTTGGTATCAATCTCTGCGTCTGGCTACTGCAGTGCTAGCGTCAAGTCAGCCTTCCAGAGGGAAATTGGAGAATGGCGTTAGTTCAGGGAGCTGCGCAGGATGAAATTACAAGACAGAATGTACAACTTTTGCATGTGGACTATAAATCCCCAGCAAAGCGTCAGGGCTGAGGCATGACTGGGTGTGTCAGAGATACAATCTGAATTAAATAAATTGAAATAAATCAAGAGATTAAATAAGTCAGAGGAAAAAGTAGCATGATCATTGGACAATGAAAAAAAGTCACTTCAGGTTTTAAAGCAAGCAGAAATTCTCTCACTTCTGAGTGATATGGAAATTGAAGTAGGCAGTTAAAAATAATAGAGAACGTTATGCCCTTGATCATGGCTCTCACTTGATAATTTCAGGACCAGACCACCCTGGACCTCCCAGAACTCCTACTATTTGAAAAAAGGCTGACTATGTAGCAGATGATCACTTTTTCTTCTTTCAAGAGAGCAATGTAAGTAGCTGCTCTTGCTGTGTATCCAGCTGTGGACTCCAGGAGGTGTTACCTTTCTCTATGACCGTCCATTATTTGACACGGCTGAGAGGCCAAACTGCTGCCAAGAGCCTTAAAATTCTTCAGGTAAAATTGTCGTGACTATTTCCTGCCAGCTCTTGCCTAAAAAATTTTGTTAAGAAGCCCTGCAGGTTCCTTTTAGTTCCTCCTTCACAGGACTAGGCTCAGATCATAAAATGACTGAGACAAGGCAAAATCTTTCTGAAAGGGGGTCTTTAAAAATTCTCTAGTGCAATTAGCATTTTCCTAGATAACACTAAGATCCTTGCTAGAAATAATTTATTGGAGGCAGACAAAAAAGACAAAACTATATTTATTCCTTAGCACCTGTCAAGAATGAAACCATAACCCTCTACAGTATTTGATCAATTGCCTTAACCTGCAGTAGTATCTTGTGACAGCTGCAGATCTCTGAGGAAGTAATTTCAAATTTAATGCTTTGCTAATGGGCTAGCTTTCTTTTCAACAGCTAAAATGCCATGGTAAGGGAGAGGCTGTTTTAGTTCAAGGTGTTCCCAAAATTATAGCCTTTATGGTTTTCATGGTTGTATTAGTGCTCTACCAGTCATTTGCATCCTTAATCCTTTTCCCTTACACTGTAATCTTCTCATAGCAAGAATTCACACTGTCTGGATAGCATTCAAGCTCAACTACAATTTTTGGCTATTATTATGCAACTGTTTTTCATTTTTGATTCGAATACAGAAGTCTTAAAAATACAACCGTAGGATTGCCATTAGTTCTTTCTGTTCAGATCTTGACCTTGCTTTGCTATTAAATATTGAACACTGACTGTATAGTGGCAAGTAAAGGAACAAAATATATTCCAAGAGATCAATTGTATCATACATTTAATAAATGAACTGGGATCCGTACACCAAAACAGAACATCGCTTACATAATGAAGTGGAAAGTAAAAACACTACCTCTCCTGCTAGTTTTTTTTTTAACCTACAGTATACCAAGTTATACAATATATTTATAGGATACCTCCAAAATGTTTTAAACATCTACATTTTCCATTCCCTCGCATTACAAAAATTACATATTAATTACTCTGGAAAGTTTCTGAACTCTGTTTAGCAGCAAATCTCCTTTCTTGATGGTTTCTTGGTACTGCCAATTCTTGCTATCAGGCCTAAAAATTGTGAGAAAAAAAAAAAAAGTGTTTAGATTTGAGATCATGTTTTACATGAAGAAACTTCCATTTATGTAATTAAGTGTGATCAAAACATACAGAATTCAAATGGGGTGTGAAATATGATTTCTAGGAATTGATAACGTACCTGTTAGTTTCTACAATCTCATTTACTTTGTCTATTTTGCAGTGTAATCGCCCAGCTGCAATAAATCTTGAAAGCTCCCTAAGAAAAGAGAAAAAAAGTTGGTTGAATGATACTTCACCAAGGAACTGCAGCCTAGCAGCACAGAACCTGCTCACATTGATAGCCTGCTGACAAAACAACACTGACATCACACTATTTCTGAAGCAACAACCTATGTATTTTCATAAGGTAGCTTACACACCCTAATCTTACTAGTGCTTGGACATGAAACAAGAACAATCACTACAGCAAGCTGAATACAAAACGTCTTAATATTTTATTCTCAGGCCAAAATCTCACTCGAGTTAAAGTGAGACTCATTTAGCTTAGCATCAATTACTGCTCAAATTCAAAGGCAACAGTCACAGAACACACATTCAGAATTTATCCTGTAAATATCTTCACACCAGTCAATTCATTATAAAGGTCCCTTAGTAGTTTCTTATTTTCTACTAGTTCTAAATATACTTGTATAAATACGCTATACTTTTTAATACTTTTAAATACCTTTAAAATATACTATAATCAACTGGTGGCTCACAGCTCATTGATGTAAACAGACAAAATTTCTGGGATATACAGTAAGACAAGTTACAACTAATACTAAATTAACGAGAAGCTAGTATGACTTAAACATTTACCTCTGAATTGAATGGTATTTGATTTCTCTTGAAAAACCTATTAATTCATTTCTGAATATTTCAAGTAGTACTCATATTTCTGT